ACCCCCCACCCCACCCCACCCCCCCCCCCCCCCCGCCCCCCCCCCCCCCCCCCCCCCCCCCCGCGCCCCCCCCCCCCCCCCGCCCCCCCCCCCCCCCCCGCACCTCGAGCAACTTCACCAATCTCCGGTCTACGGTGTCGGAGAAATCAGCAACCATCTCTTCCCTGGTGACGGTCTTAGTCCACTGATCGTATGTCCATGGATCTTCGCTGAATTTGCATGCGACCAAGTTCAACTGGGTGCCCTTTGAGATGGGGTATGTCATGAAGTTGACGTTGTGTCCGATGAAGCATTTCGCGTCGCCCGCGTGACTGCCGAGGATTTTCAAGGCGTCGTCCATCGGAATGGTGGCCCTGTACGCATACTTGCCACTGTAAGTCGCCGCCACCTCGCTGGGGTACCGCTCGGCGAGAACGTAACTCCTCACAGGCCCCTTCACGCCATCGGTGCCGACCACGGCCGAGGCCTGCGCGACCTCGCCGTCCTCAAATGTGATGGTCACTCCGTCCTCGGCCTGCTCCATGGCCTTGACCCGCTTGTTAAAACGGACCCTGTCTCGGGGGATCATGCTCGTCAGTATGTTCAGCAGGTCCCAGCGATGTGCGCTGGTCCGCTCGTAGCACTCGGCTCCGAACGGGGCGGGAACCCAGCCGCGCCTCGTACCGAATCCCTCCTCCGTGTACAGGGCGTCCATGGCGACGTGGAGTTTGTTTGGGGTGACGTTGCCGGAAGAGATGTCGCCGTACATGGTGCGTAGCTTAGGATCGATCATGTCCATCGCGCGGAGGGCGTTGGGCCCAAACCCCACTCCGGCACCGACAAGACTGAACTTGGGGGCGGCTTCATAGAGCACGAAAGAGACGTTGTTCTTGAGGCATCCGATGGCGAAGGTGAGACCCCCTATCCCAGCCCCTATGATTGCAATCTCGAACGGGGGCTCGCCGTGAATTTTGGAATCGACAGAGTGCGTGGCCTTCGGGAGATCGACGTCATCTTGTTGTCCAGTCCCGAAGAAAGAGAAGACGGACGTGTAGGTGCTCCTCAGGCAGGATAAGATGGTGCCCATGGTGTGAGAGTGCCGGCTGTCAGAATGTTCTCGCGACGATATCGAGAAGCAGATGCAAATTATTAGTTATTAATTATTATGGTCCATCGAGACGATCCGCCTCGGCAGACCACCTACCGATTTGCATCGGGAATTCGATCACGGAGATGCCAGTAAACTCGGTCAATAAAGGGGAAGCCAGACATGCCGTGATCTGCCCCACCCTCGACGACTTGGTGTCGATCGGATGCGAACAGCCGAACCTGCATTCCGGATGCATGTAAGCCGCGCTACTAACAATCCGACATACCCGCTCGGCGCTAGTTAATGATTGGCGGTTTGGTCGATTACTCCTCGTCCTGGGCGGCGAAAGAGCATGCACTTGATTGATTGGTGTAAAGCTGGGCTTACTACGTAATCCAGCGACGATCCGCCTAGCTCAGCTCGCTGTGCGGCTTGGTTGCATGCCGCACAGCTCTGTATGGCAGATGGATGAAGCAAGCTCGTTTCGAGACTGCCATGGATTGCTCGGATGAGCGTATCCGCAGTGGCAGCTGAGTGTTTACGGGGGCGTCTCGCCTACGATCGGCGAAGGTGTCCGGTAGCAGATCGATGCGATCGGAGAACAGAGCGACCCCGCGGATGGTATCCGGCACGAAAACAGAACAGGAAAAAAAAAGGGAACAACGGAAATCGCAGTCGCGAACATTGTCTCCTTAAAAGAGCTGGCCATACCGGCATCTTATGCAGCAGCAACACCACGACAAACTCCCCTCTTTGAACTCAAAAACGGCATCATGCGTGGCTCAGCAGTGAACGGGGGCATCCAGATTGCTATCGACCGCGGTGGTACCTTTACCGATGTCCACGCGATCGTCCCCGGCCGAGACGACATTGTGCTCAAGCTCCTCTCTGTCGACCCGCAAAACTACCCTGACGCACCCGCCGAGGGCATCCGCCGGGTGCTTGAGGAGGCGCTTGGAAAGCCGGTGCCACGTGGTGATCCTATCGACCTTTCCCCCGTCTCAAGCATCCGCATGGGCACGACCGTGGCAACCAATGCGCTGCTAGAGAGGAAGGGCGAGCGGTCTGCCCTGCTTATCACCAAGGGATTTCGGGACCTTTTGGTCATCGGGAACCAGGCTAGACCGGATATATTCGACCTGACGGTGTCTAAGCCGGGTGTCCTCTACGAGAAAGTCATCGAAATCGACGAACGAGTGACCTTGGAAGGGTTTACCGAGGACCCAGATAAGAAGGTTATTGATGCTGCCTCTGACCCCAACCTTGTCATCGGACTTTCAAAGGAAGTGGTTCGCGTCCTACGCAAGCCGGATTTAGATCACATCCGCAAGGAGATCCTGAGCCTCCGTGACGAAGGCTTCAAGAGTTTGTCTGTGTGTTTCATGCACAGTTACACCTATCCAGACCACGAGCTTGCCGTCGCCAGGATTGCTGAAGACCTGGGCATGAGCGTATCCGTCAGCTCTGCTCTGCAGCCAATGGTGAGAAGAAAAAGAGCCGGATCCATAAAGACTCAGGAGGGATATGACTGCTAACAAAATACTTCCCGACAACAGATCAAGGCGGTACCCCGTGGGCAGTCTGCAACCGCTGACGCGTACCTCACTCCCCTGATACGCGGTTACGTAGGAGGTTTCAGGGAAAACTTCATCGGCCGCCTGGGAGATTCCTCGACCACACGCTGCGACTTCATGCAGAGCGATGGAGGACTGGTCGATTTCCGCAGGTTTTCCGGCTTGCGCGCAATCCTTTCTGGTCCTGCGGGTGGCGTGGTCGGCTATGCGCAGACATCATTCGACAAGGACAAGGGAAAGCCAATCATCGGCTTCGACATGGGGGGCACATCGACAGGCACGTCCACCAGCAGACCTCCTCTTTTTTTTATCCATGGAACTGACAGCTTACTTTTTTAAACAACCAGATGTCTCACGATATGCCGGCGCATATGAGCACGTTTTTGAAACCAACACTGCAGGCATTGCGCTCCAAACGCCTCAACTAGACATCAACACTGTCGCCGCCGGTGGGGGTTCGTGCCTAACCTGGTCCAACGGACTGTTCAGGGTCGGCCCGGAGAGCGCCGGTGCTCACCCAGGCCCGGCATGTTACCGAAAGGGCGGTCCCCTCACTGTCACCGATGCAAATCTGTTCCTCGGCCGTCTTGTTCCCGAGTACTTCCCCCAGATCTTTGGAGAAAACGAGGACCAGCCGCTGGATGTCGTCGTGACCCGAAAACTGTTTGAGCAGCTGAAGGAAGAGATCAACTCATCTCTCCCGCCCGAGTCATCCAAGCTGACGGCTGAGGAAGTCGCCCTAGGGTTCCTCCGGGTCGCCAACGAGAGCATGTGCCGGCCAATCCGCACCCTAACCGAGGCTCGTGGCCACGATGCCGCGCACCACGACCTTGCAGTTTTCGGCGGCGCTGGTGGGCAGCATGCTTGCTCCATCGCCTCCGCCTTGGGAATCGGCCGAGTCATCATGCATCGCTTCAGTTCCATTCTTTCTGCTTACGGCATGGCCCTTGCAGACCTCGTGTCTGACGTACAAGCACCCCTAGCCTGCGCCTTCAACGATGCAACCCTCGGCCAGATAAAGACGGTTGCGGCTGAGCTCCGATTGAAAGCCGAGGCCAGCCTCAGAAGCCAGGGCCTCGACGGCGATACTGCTGTGGAGGACGAACTGTTTCTTCACATGCACTACGAGGGATCGGATACGCTGATCATGATCTCCCAGGATGGGGAAGACTGGGACTTTGCAACCAAGTTCATCCAACGCCACCGGCAGGAGTTCGGCTTCACTATGCCCCGAGAAGTCTTCGTGGGCGACGTCCGTGTTCGTGCTGTTGGAAAGAGCAAGGCTGCTGCGTTGGTGACAATCCCAGCGAGGGAGATGAGCAAGATGGCATTTTCTCCAGCGCCCGAGAAAGCTGTGCAGATGGTCAAGAAGATCTTCCTGGACGGCTCGGGCTGGCAGGAAATCCCGGTGTACCTGCTTAACTCGCTCCAGCCAGGCAACCAGGTCAGAGGCCCGGCCATGATCATCGACAACACTCAGACGATAGTGGTCGCCCCCAACGCAAGAGCCACCGCGCTAAGGGAACACATTGTCATCGACATTGAGACCCTAAAGCTACACAAGGATTCCTTGACTCGCTCAGTCCTTGATCCTGTCCAGTTGTCCGTCTTCGGGCACCGTTTCATGGGCATTGCCGAGCAGATGGGTAGGACGTTGCAAAAGACTAGCGTCAGCACCAACATCAAGGAGCGACTGGATTTCTCGTGCGCCCTGTTCTCGGGAAGCGGCAAGCTTGTCGCAAACGGTAAGCTGAGAAGAAACCTGTCTGGTAAATAATATGTCGAGCTACTGGTAGCTAATGCTAGCAGCTCCTCACGTTCCGGTCCATCTCGGAAGTATGCAGTACGCAGTGCTTTGGCAACACGAGCACTGGAAAGGAAAGCTAAAGGAAGGCGATGTCCTGGTGTCAAACCATCCTAGTAATTCAGCCCCCTCTATCATGATTTTGGAACCCCCTAATCAACCACACGCGTGAGCACACAAACTGACCGCTAATACTTAATCAATTACTTAGTTTGTGGCGGCACTCATCTGCCAGATATTACAGTTATTACCCCCTTCTTTAAGGACGGGAAGATCGTCTTCTACGTCGCCTCCCGAGGACACCACGCCGACATTGGCGGCATCTCTGCAGGCTCTCTCCCACCCAACTCGACAGAACTATGGCAGGAGGGTGCAGCTATCGAGGCTGTCAAACTTGTCGAGAACGGGGTGTTTAATGAAGATGCCATGCGGGAGCACCTACTTGAGAAGCCTGCCAGGTATCCAGGATGCAGCGGCGCCCGCAACTTGTCAGACAACTTCGCAGACCTTCGTGCCCAGACCGGTGCCAACCAGAAAGGAATAAACCTGATCAGTCAACTAGTCGAGGAGTATAGCCTCGAGACCGTCTTGGTATGTCTTTTCCAATGACCAGCAGACAGACCATTGACGATCGGCTCTTGGAAATTTCCAAACCCAATTGCTGACTCTTTATAACAGTTCTACATGAACGCAATCCAGGAAAACGCCGAGCTTGCTGTCCGCCGCTTGTTGAAAGACATGTATGTCAGATCTGGTGGACAGCCACTTGAAGCTGTTGAGCACATGGACGACGGCACACCGATCAAACTCAAGATCACTATCAACGGCAAGGACGGTAGTGCCGAGTTTGATTTCACAGGCACTGGTCCCGAGGTTTACGGTAAGACCCCGTCTGAGTCTGAACCGCATAAGTTCAATGCAAACTATACAGAACTGCGGACTAAACTGATTTGCATTTAGGAAGCACAAACGCCCCCACCTCAGTCACATATTCCGCCATCATCTACGTCCTGCGCTGCCTAGTGAAGGAAGACATACCCCTTAACCAGGGCTGCCTGACCCCAATCAACGTCATCATGCCTCCACGAACCCTGCTCTCGCCCAGCGCCGAGGCCGCCGTGGTGGGCGGCAACTGCGTGACGTCGCAGCGCGTCACCGACGTGATCCTCCGCTGCTTCGACGTCTGCGCGGCCAGCCAGGGCTGCCTGAACAACCTCACCTTTGGCAAGAGCTCGCGCCTCGACGCCAACGGCAAGTACACCCCGGGCTACGGCTACTACGAGACGATCGCCGGCGGGGCCGGCGCCGGGCCGACCTGGCGCGGCACGGACGGCGTCCATGTGCACATGACCAACACGCGCATAACCGACGTCGAGATCTTTGAGCGCAGATACCCCTGTCTTGTGCGGGAGTTCAGTCTCCGCACCGGCAGCGGCGGCGGCGGTCTGCATCCGGGCGGGGAGGGCTGCGTGCGTGACATCGAGTTCCGCGAGCCGCTGTCCGCGGCCATCCTCTCGGACCGGCGGGTGCACGCGCCGTACGGCTTGCGCGGCGGCGACCCCGGCGCCGTTGGGGTGAACCTGTTCGTCAAGAAGCTGCCCGGCGGCGAGGACCGCGTCATCAACCTGGGCGGCAAGAACTCGATCCAGGCGGACGTCGGCGATCGGATCGTGATACGGACGCCGGGGGGCGGGGGTTGGGGGAGGAAACTGAGCGGGGAGACAAATGGTTGCCTTGTGAACGGACATGCGTCGGTGAATGGAAACGGGATGAGTGTGCCTTATATGCGGGGGATGGGAAGTGTCGCATCGACCCAATCCATGCAGAACAGTAATTAGCCAGACATTAACCACACAGTCGCGTCATTCAGCACTCCAGACCCCGGGGTGTTGGCATTTCTTGGTGGCATACACTGCATTGTTAAACATTGTGAACAAACCATCGTCTCCGAAATATCATGTTGCATATAAGTTCTACCTGTTTGCCCCATGTCCTTATCTCCAACTGCCTTTTCCAATTGCCGTCTCGGTGATCCCCTGGGTTTATCCTTAATGGAAGGATGATGCCCCTTTGACCTCGGGATCTCATGGTTCTTCCCCCACATCGGGACCCACCTATTATTACCACTTTCCTGTGTCCGGTGCCACCACTTTGGAGCAACCCCGTTTGCGGGGGAGAGCGGGGAGGAATCGTTGGTACTTCAAAGGGATAATTACCGTCCCACTGCTGCTGCTGGAGGAGCGAAAACAGAGTCACAATCGAATGCTTCCACGTCCTAGTCTCTCGCAACTAAGGACAGCAGAACCCTCCTCGCCGATTGAAGGGACATCATAATGTCTACGTCAACCGCTCCTAACGATCTTCCAGTACAGCGTGGGACGAACCACGCGTGGAGGAACCTCAGCCCCAATGCGTGGGCCAGGATGCTGTACGTACTTCAGCCAGCAGAGCCAATGCTCATCGGGGGGCGCAATCTTGAGGACAACACTACGTCGACAATCCCTGGTTATGAAGCACCTCATTGAATATCGCTGAGAGCCAAGGCGGTTACAGGCAAGAAACTGGCTTCGTCACATGTATCCATCTACCTACATTGCCTAGGTATTTTCCATTCACTTAACAAACAAATCCCCTGGAAGATTCGTTGGCGTAGTATTGTCCAAGACATCGGCAAACACCCCTGTCAGCCACCTCCCTAGGTAAGTTCACTAGTAGACACGCTAGGAGTAGGGAGACGTTATCGTTGGTCAATCTAGACACAGTGCAGGAAGTTACTCCGCACAACCCCGCACAAAACCCCCAAGTTGTTGCTTGGAATTGGGGTCTGAGCTTCAGGTGAGCCGACTGAAAGTGCCGGAGTTTTCCTGCTCCTCCATCGTAACCCTTGCCATCCGTGCATACATTTTCATCACTCCATCTCCTTCATTCGTACATACCAACCATCTTGCTCCCCACCAGACTGACCAGCTGTAATCACGGTTCCCCGGGCCCACAGGAGCTGTCATGGAGTCTTCACCAGGACCCAAAAAACAACCCGCCCAAGGCCTCTTCCAATGCTCGATGTGCCAACGCACCTTTGCAAGGGTCGATCACCTCTCCCGACACGTCCGATCTCGTGAGTCCCACGATGCCTCGCCTTGGGATAGCTCTGCTCTGGTACTAATAGACAGGTGCAGATCTCCAGGAAAGGCCATTCCAATGCCAGAGATGTGACAAGGCTTTCGGCCGGCTGTACGTTCGCAGACCGCGTCGACTTTCCCATATCTCTTTCCTGACCTAACCCATCATTTCTCAGGGATCTCCTTAAAAGACATGCCGCCTGCCATGAAGACAGCGAAACTGGCAGCAAAAGGCAAAGACAACAGCATAGTCAGGCACAAAGGGTGTCACAGGCTTGCAAGGGCTGTGCCACGGCCAAACTCAAGTGCGAAGATAAAAAGCCGTGTGGGAGATGCCGGCAGAAAGACATTGCCTGCGAACCAGACAGCCGTCATCCTGCGAAACAGGCGAAGCATGACGGAGCACAGTCATCTCGTAGGGCTCTCCTTTTTGTTCTTTCTCTATTTCTTTCTTACCTCGTCCCACAACGCACAAGGATCAAGTGGTTGAGATGTTGGAGAGGTGTAATAACATGGGCTAACGTCAGTGCTGCCGAGAAGTAAACATTACCCCCCCGGGCCGTTCACCTGCCAATACACCCCCAGAATTGGCTGCTGCCGTGGTCGGGATGGCTTCAGTCGACCAGGCGGCGAAATTGTCCAGCCAAAACTCCGTGGTACACAGTACGAACGCCCTTCGTCCCTCCCTAGCTGCAGCATCTTGACGAGCGTTGACTTCCCGGATAATTAATAGGTCAAGTCTTCCCGCAATCCGACATTCCGAGTGCGCCGACTTTCGGCTTTCCCGAACACGAAATGTCCGGTTTCCTCAGGGGAGTAATGACACCGTCTCATCCTAGCTCTCTGTGCCCCTATGCCCCTCCGACGTGGCCGGACCTAAATGCTGGTATTGGAGACGGCGGCCTCCTCGATTTCACTACCGAGGGTTTTGACCTTGACGACGCGGACATGGGCTTTGTGGCCCAATTATGCAGCGACTTCCACGGCATTGATTCTCATCATCCGCAACTTCAGGTACCCCGGCAGGCACCTGAGACAATGGGGCTAGGCAACACCCGGAGGCACTCGGCGGCACTCGGAGCTGAAGCTTACAAGAGATCTTCATTCGGTGTCTGGCATCCGGCGCAGCACGACCACGGAGGCGCAGAGCTCGAGAACCTTTCCGCTCCGAGTGCCGCCGACGGTTCCCCCGAGACCCAGATAGCAATCGATTACCGTTGTGTTGGAGAGAACTTGGACCGGACCACGAGAGACGAGTTCCTGGCCATGATACTTCGCACCTGCAAACCCGAGAAGTTGCAGTATGTCTTGAGGGCATTTCCCACGCCAGAATTCCTCGACGAGCTGCTCCAGAGTTTCTTCTCCCATCACTACCAAAAAAAAGACTCCTTCATCCACATCCCGTCTTTCAGACCAAATCAACAGAAGCCGGAACTCCTCGGGGCCATCGCAGCCGCTGGCGCCACCTTGACCGATATAAGATCCTTGCATAAACTCGGGTTTGCCATGCAAGAGGCAGTGCGCGCGACGATACAGGACAGATGTGAGGAGTCGAACGCAATGACGAGGGAACTCTGGATCCTCCAGGCCTTCATTTGTGAGCTTGAGATTGGGCTCTGGAGCGGCATCAAGCGGAAGATGGAGATAGCCGAGAGTCAACCCCAGATCGTGTTCACGGTATGTTTGCCCGAGAAAACATCACGTATTTGTTTGTGATGATCTCAACAATAGCTAAGAACATTCGGGGGTGTATAATTAGATGCTTCGACGTGCTGGCAGATTCCACAGGCTGAAGCAGATGTCATCCACACCACTTCCCGAGGACACGGGCGAGACCTTGCATCGGCAATGGCTCGAATGGGTGGAGCAGGAGAGTCTCAAGCGGCTTGCATTTCACGCATTCCTCCTCGATGCGCAGATCAGCATGGCGATGCTGACCAACCCCATCATCTCATACGCGGAACTGGCCATCCCCTTACCGGAATCGCAGGATCTGTGGATGGCCGAAGACGCCGAGCAGTGGAAGGCTCTCTATCTCGGGCGATCCAGACCGCCGCAACATCAGCAGCCTAGCCTGGCCCATTTCCTACGTGAGCCCATCGAAGTCCCGGAGTACTATGACCAGGATTTCTCTCACCAGATCATCCTCCACGGGATGTGGGGGATGATATGGCAGCATTCCCAACTGCTTTCGGCGCTTGGAAAGCTCGGGCAGCCGCAGGCCGCCATTGCACTGCGACACCAAGATATCCAACAGGCAGTCCAGCATTTCCGAATCAACCTATCTGCGGGCCATGTTTCCCCTTGTCCCGAGACCAGCCTCGTCCTCGAGCTGCTGCCGATGTACCTGCACTCGTCGCTCGCGGAGATCCAGCTCTTTGCCGGCAAGGAGGGTCTCGACGACGCCCGCCGTGTGCTCCCGTCTCTCCAACGATGGGTGGACGGCTCCGATTCGCGGCAGGCAATCTGGCACGCCGGCCAGGTCCTCCGCGCCGCAAGAGGATTCCGCACCAAGCAGCTCCGCGGCTTCTTCATCATTGCCGTGTACCATGCGAGCCTCGCCATTTGGACATATGGCGTCATCGCGCAGGCCAAGGATGCCGCCGCCCGGGAGGGACAGAAGACTACGAGCGAGACGCGTCTCGTGTGCCTGGATGGACCCGAGACTCCAGCGATACAGCAGTTTATAACAATGGGGAAGGGTATTCCGAGCATTACCCGCGCCCATGGTGACGGCACCTCGGCTACAAGCACGATCCCCCTCTCAGACCAGGACGCGGTCATGAGTGTGGTCTTGGCGACACTCAAGAGTAATTTCCCCTGCTGCCATAAAGAGCAAGCACCCCCGCCGCTAGTCGAAAACCTGATTCAACTACTGCGGGATCTGGGGAAAGCGGCGGGGACGGTTGGGGTTTGAGGGAGGGTAGAGAGAATTGTTGCATCGGGAGATGAGGGCCACATCCCGAGAAACCCACACCCACACGCCCCTGCTCTGTCCCCATTGCCACCTCCGCTTCTCCAATAACCCGTCCCGCAAAACGGCTAAAACAACCTGAAGGCTGCTGTGTTGGGGCGACTGTTGTGTTCGTTGACCTTTCAGTCACATGGTCCGTTTTTCTCACGCAGCCAATCTCAGTCCCTTGTAATTTAGCTGGAGTCTCTCTACCCAACAACAGCAACACCCTTGCCTGGCTGCAATCTTTGCCCCAAGATGCCGAACCCAATTAGACATGACCTACACACCATCGACGAGACGTCGTTCCCCTACGTTTACGAGCAAAATGCCACCATCGAACTCAAATCCTGCGACGGACTCGTCCGGTGCAACATACATCGTCCGAAAGGTTCCGGCCCCGAGCAGAGAGTTCCTGTCCTAGTCACCTATGGCCCCTACGGAAAGGATACGCCCTATGGAGAGTACGTGAGCCCACCTTCCTATACGCGACACCATAATTACAAACACAGCATAACATACTGTATTTGATACAATCAAAACTGACACGATTTCCACAGTTTTCATGCGAAATCCTTCTCTGAAGTTAATCCCCAGCACAAGTCGGCGCATTCGGCCTGGGAGACGCCGGACCCAGGCTTCTGGACCAGCCACGGATATGCCATCGTACGTGCAGACGAACGCGGCATTGGCCAGTCCCGTGGCAGACTTGACACCATGTCTCGCGGGACCAGCGAAGCCTTCTTCGAAGTCATAGAGTGGTGCGCCGACCAGGCCTGGTCCAGCGGCAAAGTCGGCCTTCTCGGAATCAGCTACTACGCCGGAAGTCAATGGCGGGCCGCTGCCCGGAGGCCAAAGGGTCTCGCCGCCATGATTCCCTGGGAGGGCATGTCGGACTACTACCGCGATCGTTGCCGCCATGGGGGGATCTTATCAAACAACTTCATCAAGTTTTGGTGGAATCGACAGGTTGTGGCAAATCAGTACGGCAGGCCGCGAGATGAGGCAATTTTCAAGGTCAAAGACATCGCAGGAGACGGACCGATGCGACCGAAGTCGGCACCTGAGTCAGCTGAGGGCAATCTGCCCGAGGAGGAGCGCGCCAACAACCGCCAAGACCAAACGATTGACAACCAGAAATATCGTTTCCGCGACGAGGAATACTACGCTTCCAAGGAATACGACATGGGCGACATCCAGGTTCCGCTACTGTCCGTGGGCAACTGGGGCGGTATTTTGCTGCATCTTCGTGGCAACATCGAAGGTTACGTCCACGCAGGCTCGGAACGGAAATGGCTGCGCGTCATCACCGGTCGTCATGATCTGCCATTCTACTACGACCAGGAGGTTGACATCCAACTCTCATTCCTCGATGCCTTCCTCAAGAATGAGGACCGTTCAGGGTGGACAACAGGACAGGTCCCCCCGGTGGACTTGGTCCTGCGAAAGGGTGACGTCGGTTTCAACAACCCCAAAGCTGAGAGCACATACCCCCGCCGCACGGAGAATGAATGGCCCATCGCCCGCACGCAGTGGACAAAGTGGTATCTCACGCCGCAGATGACTCTAACCGCAGATGTGGGCCAAGCCCAAGCGGCGAGCGCGAGACGGCAAAAGCTCACGTACGAGGCACTCGGAACGCTAGACAATCCGCGGCTCATTCAGTTTTCCACGGATCCCTTCAAGCAAGAGACCGAGATTACCGGCAATATCGTGGCGCATCTCGCAGTCAGTGCCACCCCTCAGCCAAACGGGCCCACTCCGTCCGATATCGACTTGTTCGTCACGCTACGCCACATTTCTCCCCAGGGAAACGAAGTGTTCTACACTGGCACAGCAGGTGACCCCGTCCCGGTAACCAAGGGCTGGCTAAGAGTTAGCTTGCGGAAGGTTGCCACCGAGCATCCCAAACGCCGGCCCTACCTGCCCTGGAGGGAGTATCTGAGCACCGACGTAACCCCTGTCATCGTCGGGGAGATCTACGAGGTCGATGTCGAGGTGTGGCCAACTTGCGTTGTACTTGAGAAAGGTGCAAAGCTGGTATTAGAAGTGGCAAGCGGGGACACTCAGGGGTCAGGGATCTTCAGACATGACGATCCGATTGACAGGTTAGACTTTCCGTTCTCGTCTTGCCTAGGTTCCTCTAACACATGATGGGATAAACTGGCTAATTCACTAATTTTATCTAGGGCTCCGAGCAAGTTCCAGGGTCTCAACCACGTCTGCTTCAGGCCAGAAGCACTGAACTATGTGATGTTGCCTGTTATCCAGCCCAAGGAGACGTGACACCGTCATGGAGTTGTTTGGGATTCTGTGAAGTAGGGTTGGTGTTCGAGATGCATCAAGGGCATATTACTTCCTCGTGGGGATGGGGATGACAATGGATCCATTACGACGTAATTATAAATGCCAGGTCTCTCCATATATCCTCTAGACCCAATTAGATAGATGCACGCTGCTCCTGCAGTAATTGAACAGTTATAATCCCGGACCTTCTATACTGGTAAAAGTCTAGTTTGTGCTTTGAATAAATTACCATTTTTTACGCTCAGTAAGTTTGAACTATAAGGAAATGGTGATATGCTCTTCAAATTGTGGTGTTGGCCTGATATTGCTAGTCTAGATGTGTATTCGAAAGGTTGTCACTCCCAACTCAGTGATAGGAGGGGCAGGGAGAATGCATTCGAGTAGAATCCACCCCTTCCCCCCCGGGGGGGGGGGGGGGGGGGGGGGGGGGGGGGGGGGGGGGGGGGGGGGGGGGGGGGGGGGGGGGGGGGGGGGGGGGGGGGGGGGCACG